GATGGTGTAGAGAGAAATTCTTGATACCATGATATAGTGCTATGTTATGTATTTGCAAAACTGTTTAAATAATTGTTTAATCTATTTGACCTTTGGAAAAACTTGTCCTGTGCTCATGAAAGGCTGGTGTCTAACTGCAGAGACTCAGAACAACAGGAAGTGTGCGCAGGCAGAATGAGATGACTAAACTGTCTGCACAGGAATAGTGTATGGGTGTAAGGTCTGATTGGCTTGACTTTAGATTATCAACATTTATCAACATATGAAATTCTAGGATCAATATTGTAACCTGCATTAGCAAATATATTTACAGGATTATTTTAGTATCATATGCCTTATAATCTACTTTTGTGTTAACCATTTCATTTGTCTTAGACAGTGTAAGGCTGCAAGCAATCTACAGGAAACCACAACAGGAACCAGGGCTTAGCAACGCTCATAGTGACAGGTGTAGACGGGAAGTGAGAGCCTTCTCTGAAACTGTCTGAGTTTAGGGCATTCAAAGGTCAGGATGTGTTCTTAGAATTGTACAGATGGAAAACTGCCTGGTGACAAGATCATCATATGAGGAGTCAGATCAGATCGAGGTCAAGAAACCAACCAAGGAACGAGGATGAAGGACAACCAGGATGACGTCAGATTATTTGCATGACTCTCATCATAAATTCTCTGTGCAGAGGAACCTCGTGGTTCTGCCTTCCTGCAGCAGCTTGCACTGACTTCTCTGTGATAGGGCTTCAGAAAGAGACGGAAGCCAGAGCTCTGTATTGCTTTTCCAGAATATTTTGCATTAAATATTGATTGTAATAAATATCTCAAAAGACAGATTTGTCTTTGACCATTCTTCATAAAAGAACATGCAAGGACCAGGTTTTGTCCAAACAATGGTAAAAGAGACCATGCCCTTTTGTGTCAGCTGCTCTGGTGTTCTTGTCAGATTGAAAACAAATTTACTACAGAAAAGCACCTGTGCTTCATCCCAGGGTTTCACACAGGGGCCCAAAGAAGCGAGAGAAGATACTGAGAATTAGCATAAAACATACGTAAAGCATACGTTTTCTTGGCTAAAATTTGATTCCATTAGCAGAGCAATTAATTGTCATAAAGGACACTCTGACAACAAATGAACTGTGTTCACTCAATTACAACTCCTCTTATATATAGATGAAAATATGAACAAGGAGGCCAAGAGCTGAATGGGGTCACAATGGGGATGGTGACGCATGGGGCACCTTGGTGGAAAGGTGGATAAACGTGAAGAAAGACCGCAAATGATCAAATATAAAACTATATCCATCAAAGGGAGCTAGCTAGTGTCTGGAACATAAACAGTAATCTGTGATCTAAATGCAGGACAAGGTCGCTCTCTGGTGTATGGAAGCAAAACGGCCTCATAAAGATTTGAATCTATATCAGCATCTGAATAATAGGTTTTGAAATATTATACTTTGAATTCTATATTCTGAATGAATGCACTCTGTATTTTACGCAGTGAAATTACAAGTAGAGATTTTCAAGTTAGAAAAATACATCATTTTGATTTCAAACCACACCAATATTATTAAAATAATTCAAATATAAAAATGTACATGTCTAATTTTCAAAAAATATATTCAATGCGTTTATTTCAAGAAGCACTATTCAGAACCAGAAAGTTCAATCAACTCACAATTCAGACTGTGACATTCAGGTGCTGAAATTCAAGTGCA